TTTTTAGTAGAGACGGGGTTTCACCGTGTTAGCCAGGATGGTCTTGATCTCTTGACCTCGTGATCCGCCCATCTCGGCCTCCCAAAGTGCTGGGATTACAGGCTTGGGCCACCGCGCCCGGCCCCGACTTTCTTTTTTTAATGACACAGGGTCTCACTCTGTCACCCAGGCTGAAGTGCAGTGATGCCACCATACCTCATTGCAGGCTTGAACTCCTGGGCTCAAGCGATCCTGTTGCCTCAGCCTCTCAAGTCGCTGGGACTACAGGCATGCACCACCATGTCTAAAAATTGTTTTGTTGAGACAAGGTCTCCCTATGTTGCCCAGGCTGGTCTCCAACTACTGGCCTCAAGCAATCCTCCTGCCTGGGCCTCCTCAAGTACTGGGATTACATGTGTCAGTTACTGCACCTGGCCAAGTTTTCTGATTTATTCTATTTCTTCCCGTCTTCCCTACTAAAATTTCAGCTCTACAAAGGCAGTGATTTGCAGCTGCCACACAGTAGATGCTTACAAAATAGTTGGATGGTTGGGTGGGTGGGTGGGTGGATGGGTGTGTGGATAGATGGATGGATGGGTGGGTGGGCGGATGGATGAATGGATGGATGGGTGGATGGGCGGGTGGGTGGACGGATGGGTGATTAGGTGGGTAGACGGGTGGGCGGATGGATGGGTGGACGGATGGATGGATGGGGCCCAGCTGCCGCTTGCACACACACCCCAGTCCCCATGGTGCCAACACCTCAGACTCACCGACTTTATGTGCGATGTGGATGCAGACTTCCTCAGCTGTCAGCGATGACTCGCTAAAAGTGACCCAGGGCTCTCCGCCGCCTGGACCAGCCCAGTGCAGAAGCACCTTCAGGCCTCCCATGGCAGCCATGGGCTGGGCTCCATCCCCAACGGGCTTGCTGCCCCTGGTCGTCCCCCGATGGCGCAGAGGCATGCTCCCAGCAGGTGGCTCGGCTGCAAAGGGGACAATCTATCAGCTGCCAAGTCTCAGTCCAGAGACCCCCGTTAGCTCCTCAACCTTCCACCCACCCCCGCTGAGGCCTGAGGGGAAGATCCTGGGCTCCTATCTTGGCATGACATTAGAGACCCGATTCCCTCTCTGAGTCTCGTTTTCCACATTTGTTGGACAGGGTTGGGGTATGCATCCCCACCTAGATCTCTCATCAACGATAACACTGAACCCTCCTCTCTTTTTTTTTTTTTTTTTTTTTTGAGACGGAGTCTTGCTCTGTCGCCCAGGCTGGAGTGCAGTGGCCGGATCTCAGCTCACTGCAAGCTCCCCTCCCGGGGTTCAAGCAATTCCCCTGCCTCAGCCTCCCGAGTAGCTGGGACTACAGGCGCCCGCCACCTCGCCCGGCTAGTTTTTTGTATTTTTTTAGTAGAGACGGGGTTTCACCGTGTTAGCCAGGATGGTCTCGATCTCCTGACCTCGTGATCCACCCGTCTCGGCCTCCCAAAGTGCTGGGATTACAGGCTTGAGCCACCGCGCCCGGCCAAACCCTCCTCTCTTTACACAAATTGACACCGATATATAAAAATCTGCTCTGGCCAGGTACAGTGGCTCACGCCTCTAATCCCAGGACTTTGGGTGGCTGAGGCAAGACGATCGCTTGAGCCCAGGAGCTCAAGACCAGCCTAGGCCATATAGCAAGACCCCGTTTCTACAAGGCATTTTATTTTACTTTATTTTGAGACAGAGTTTCACTCTTGTTGCCCAGGCTGGAGTGCAATGGTGCGATCTCGGCTCACTACAACCTCCGCCTCCTGGGTTTAATTGATTCTCCTGCCTCAGCCTCCTGAGTAGCTGGCACCCACCATCACACCAGGCTAATTTTTGGATTTTTAGTAGAGACGGAGTTTTGCCATGTTGGCCAGACTGGTCTTGAACCTCTGACCTTAGGTGATCCACCCGCCTTGGCCTCCCAAAGTGCTAGGATTACAGGCGTGAGCCCCCGTGCCCAGCCTGTACAAGAAATTTTTAAAATTTAGCCAGGTGTAGGGGCACACATCTGTAGTCCAAGCTACTCAGGAGGCCGAAGTGGGAGGATCTCCTGAGCCCAGGAGTTGGAGGCTGTAGTGAGCAGTGATCACACCACTGCATTCCAGCCTAGGTGACAGAGTGAGACCCTTACTCTAAAAATATAAATAAATAAATAAATACATAAATACATAAAAATATATAAAAAGGGCCAGGCGCGGTGGCTCATGCCTGTAATCCCAGCACTTTGGGAGGCCGAGGCAGGCAGATCACAAGGTCCAGAGATTGAAACCATCTTGACCAACATGGTGAAACCCCATCTCTACTAAAATACAAAAAAAAAAATAAATAAATAAAATAAAAATCTGCTCTTAACACACTTCCCCAAAATAACCAGACGGGCAGGTGTAGTCAAACAGACCTGAAGGCAAGTCCTGGAGCTCCCTGTGTCAACTCAAGCAAGCCACTTGGCAATTCTGGGCCTCAGTTTCCCCATCTGGAAAAGGGAGGTCCTCAGGGTGTTGCCATCGAAAGATGGTTGTAATGTTTCAATATAGTTCTGCATATTACACATTCAGCACAGACCCTGATATAGGCACACACAAAAATAACAAATATGACTAAAACAAGAATAACATCATTGTTACTAGTTTCATCGTGGTGATGGCCTTTCTCTTTCAAGTGACAATTCTCCTCTCCCACACATACCCCCAAGAGTGACCTCAATCCCTGTTGACTCCCCAAAGCCTAGGAGAGTTTATGTCCAGCTCCATCCCCCCAGTCCAGGGCCTGAGGCTCCTGAGGGCGCCAGTATGGAAGTGAAGGGGCTGTTAGTTCCACCCATGTTGCTGGTTTCCTCATCTGGAAAATGGGCATGTAAGAGTGTCTACCTCAAAGGATTGCTGGGAGGATTCAACGCGAGGAGGCAGAGAAAGTGCCTGGTATACAGTAAGGTATACAGTAAGCGCTTAATCAGCGTTTGCCATTAATACCTATTCATGTTATAGATGAGATCCTGGGGATGGGGCTTTCGGGGAGCCTACTTCCTCCTTCCTCCTTTCTTGTCCCCACTGGACCCGGAACCAGCTTTGAAGACGGGATCGGGGTGAGGTTTGCAACTGGGAAGGCTGCACGCCCCCATGTCCCCCCCTTCAAAACCTCTAAACCCGGCCAGCAAGGGCGGGAACTGGAATGTGCACCCACCCGGCATCGGGGCAGTGCCGAGGTACCAGGTGCTCCCATCCAAGTGCAGCCTGTCTAGCGCAGCCAGTCCCCGCGCCTCCTTCCTGAGGACCTTCGGCCGCGCCCCTTCCGCGCCCGCGTCCAGACTCACCCTTCCCGGGGGACAAGAGCTCGAACCCGGACCCCACCCCGCCCCTGCGGACAGCCACTACGTCCCCCGCCGAGACGCCTCCTCCCATTGGCCGCCTGAAACGCGCACGCCCATTGGCAGCTGGTCTGTTCTCCTCGCGCGTCACCTTTGGAAGTTCTTTTTTTTTTTTGGCCATGGCAGCGGCACTCTGATTGGTCCTGGGGCTCACTCGTCGCTCAGCCGCGATTGGCTGAGTCGGCACCCGGATGCGCTGTCGCTTCTGCTATTCGCTGACACGTGGTGGACGGAGACGTGGGAGGGGCTTGCGAGAGGCGGGCGGGAGAGCGAAGTGTGTGGGCAACGCGGCCGGATCCTGGAGTTCCCCTCAGTGCTGTGGAATTGGGTCAGACGTGTGCGGTCCTGACCCTAGGGCACAGCTACATGTCCTCACCTCGGTGTTCAAAGCTGCACCGGGCAGCATTCAACCCTCCGACGCCCTGCCCTGTGGCTTCCCGGTTCCATCCTGTCCTATCTCCTTTCCTTCGTTTCTACCTGGCCGACTCCGCCCTACTGGCTGGAATTCCCCCTCCTTCACTGCCTGGAAGCATTCCTCGCCCACCTGCTCCTGTCCTCTTCCTGATCACCGGCAGCCCTGTCCCCTGAAGCTCACTAGCGGTCAGGGTAGCAGCCTGGACGTCCCACCAGTTGTGAATTCAAATCCCCACTCCGCAAGTCGTGCCCGTTTGCTGAGAAGTCTACAGCCTGAGCGTTTCACATACGTTATCTCATTTAATGCTAGCAGCAACTCCCTGTATGGCGGCTCTTATTATCCGCATTTCACAGAGGAAGAAACTCAGGCATAGAGAGGTAGCAAAGACCGTCCTCTGACCCTTCTTCTGTGCCATGCCATAACCAGCCCTCGACTTTGTCTTTCACCTGCCCAGCCAAGTCTTAGCAAAGAATCCTATTAAGTCATCCGCTCATCCTTGATATCTGATCAAGTTCCTCATCTTCCACCTTTTGTTGTTATTTATTTGTTTATTTTACGACGGAGTCTCGCTCTTGTTGCCCAGGCTGCAGTGCAATGGCGCGATCTCGGCTCACTGCAATCTCTGCCTCCCGGGTTCAAGCGATTCTCCTGCCTCAGCCTCCCGGGTAGCTGAAATTACAGGCGCCCGCCACCACGCTCGGCTAATTTTTGTATTTTTAGTAGAGACTGTGTTTCACCATCTTGGCCAGGCTGGACTCGAACTCGTGACCTCGTGATCCACCCTCCCAAAGTGCTGGGATTACAGGCGTGAGCCACTGTGCCCGGCCCTTTAATTTTTAAATTTTGTGGCTAAGTTTTAAATTTTTGTAGAGATGGGGTCTGGCTATGTTGCCCAGGTTGGTCTTGAACTTCTGGCCTCAAGTGATCGTCCTGCCTTGGCCCTCCAAAGTGGTGGGATTACAGATGTGAGCTAAGATACCCAACTCCATGGAGCTGGTCTTAACTGCCATGGCCAAGGGACATGTGGCTGCTTCTCTCTGAATCAGAAAATATGGGGAAAAAAACCTCACAGAGCAGCTGTGGACATTCAGTATGAAAATGCTGAAATCGACCAAGCATGGTCTCTTTCATGCCTGTAATCCCAGCACTTTGGGAGGCCGAGGCGGGCAGATCACCTGAAGTCAGGAGTTCGAGACCAGCCTGGCCAACATGGTGAAACCCCGTCTCTACTAAAAATACAAAAATTATCTGGGCATGGTGGCAGGCACCTGTAATCCCAGCTACTCAGGAGGCTGAGGCAGGAGAATAGCTTGAACCTGGGAGGCAGAGGTTGCAGTGAGCCGAGATTGCACCATTGCCTTTCAGTCTAGGGAACAAGCGCTAAACTCTGTCACAAAAAAAAAAAAAAAAAAGAAAGAAAGAAAAGAAAAAGAAGAAGAAAATGCTGGTAGTGATAGTGGCCGGGCGTGGTGTCTCATGCCTGTAATCCCAGCACTGTGGGAGGTTGCAGTGAGCTGCGATTGCCCCACTGCACTCCTGCCTGGGCAACCAAGCAAGACCCTGTCAAATAAATAAATCAATTAATTAAAGAGCTGACATTTTCCCAGCCTGGACACTGGGCCAAGGGTGAGTATTTAGCCATCCCTGCGTCTTCTCAGTTTCTTTCTTTCTTTTTTTTTTTTTTTGAGACGGAGTCTTGCTCTGTCACCCAGGCTGGAGTGCAGTGGCACGATCTCGGCTTACTGCAAGCTCCGCCTCCCGGGTTCACGCCATTCTCCTGCCTCGGCCTCCCAAGTAGCTGGGACTACAAGCACCCGCCACCACACCCAGCTAATTTTTTGTATTTTTAGTAGAGACGGGGTTTCTCTGTGTTAGCCAGGATGGTCTCGATCTCCTGACCTCGTGATCCACCCGCCTCGGCCTCCCAAAGTGCTGGGATTATAGGCGTGAGCCACCGCGCCCGGCCTCTTCTGTTTCTTTGTGAGTGGTATCAGCACCCTCACTTGACAACTGAAGAAAAGAGGCTAAGGAGGCTGTTTTGCCAAGGCCTAGGGCCTCCTGCCCAAACTCAGACCTGGTCCATAAGGGAGGCCGCAGACCCCACATGTGACTAACAGGCCGGGGTTTCCCAGGACTGAGGGGGTTCCCCAATGAGGGGCTTTCCATGCTAAAATTGGGACAGTCCTGGGCAAGCCAGGGCAGTTGGCCACGCCACTACAGTGGGTTTTCCGGAAGGAACAAAAGCTGGGGGCTTCCCCTGGCTCTGCGAGGGCTGCAGGGAGGGGCCTCCTCAGAGCCCACTGGTACCTGGGAAAAGCCAAGAGTTGATGGATTGAAAGTAAAATACCTTTGTGTTTTCATGAATAGGGAAGTTCGGGGAACAGCCAGTCTCCTCCACAAAACAACAATGAGATGGGTTTCCTGGGAAATCTTTTTTTTTTTTTTT